TACTATATAAAGTCGTACAAAGAATATATATGTATTTCATTATTTCGCCAAGGAGTCTCTTTTGCCATGAACAATTTAACTTTTTACGCTCAACTGACAACGCTATGGGCTTCGTTGCTTTTCGCTTCTCCGCTGTGCAAGCTTTTATTTTCATTGTAGCGCACCAACGCTTTTGTACCTTGAGAGTAATTAAAACATTTTGGGCGACGCGGACGAGAGAGTTCTTTGAGCTTAAAGCGTGCCAGAAAATTCATCCCCCGCTGCCTTTGCACCGGAGTACATAAAAGAATATCATATGCACATTATAAGAAACGAGTCATGTTGAAGTAAATGATGTCCTTGCCAAGACGAGATTTCATTCCTGGCAGTAAACGCTGCGCCCCCCATTATTAACACGTCCCATTTACGTTGAACCTAAAAAATTTTACACATGAAAACTAACCTATATAAGCCTGCAAATTATTATATTTTAGAAATAATTATATAATTGCATTATTTCTAAATGAAATTAATTGTTTGTCAAATAAAATAAAATTTGTTAGGATTAACTTTAATTGACAATGACTATAGAATTTGAACAGGCACCCTCTGCGACATCTTTGTGCACGAGGTTTTCTCGGCCTGTTGCTATTGGCTTGCTCCCTTGATTCAAACGATCCTGTCAGGATCCGAAGGACTAATTAAACAATCCCCTGTTTACACGAGATGGGGCCTCCTTTAATCCCTGCAAACATCCCTTGTGGTTGGAACTGCGTTCCGGAGGCATCTTCTTCTTCGTAGGAAAATAACAAAACACCGGTTGATTAATAGTACAGCTCGCTCGGGCCAACAGCATTTCTCTCAGAACCGTCCTGGCTATTTGTCATTGCACTGTTCCGAGTGTTATCAATTTCGCTGACTATAACGACTGTGTATTTCCAGGCTTTCTTAATTTTTTTAAGACGCCCCCGGAACATAACGAATGGCGCTTTGGTTCCGATGGACAAAAATCTACTGTAAGTACGATTGTTTTTGAGCATCAAGTTTTGCCTGGCTAGGGTGAATAATTTATCATTGTCACAGTTCCATATGATTTGCAAAAATCTCGAAGGGACAAGAACAGATTTTGTCTCAGATAAAATTTTTATCACGCAAGTCTTTGATGATCGCATAGTTTCTTATAAAAAAATTATAAATATTATTCTAAAGTGAGATATATGCATTTTACGTCAGAATATTTTTCACCGAATCGCATTTTTTTATCAATAATAAAAACTGTTATTCCGACGACACTGAGTGCATTCTTACAAAGATTTCTTGTTGTATTTAGAGGCTTTTGGAAGTATGCAAATTTTTTTTAAATACTGTATCATTTGAATTGCTCTATATCTATTTAACGAACTGTTGGAATTTTAAACTAAAACTGGACCACTATTTTATGCATCCCGATCAGTTTACTCGCCTAATCTTAATTTTAATTGACTTTAAAGATTGCACGTGGCGCTTCATTGGAATAACAATTTACGATTTTGGGCGAAACGCGTGACTAGAATCAAGTACTGAACTAGGGCGATAGATTGAAATTCCTGAAGGTAAATTGAGCTTAGACTATATCTGTTCTAAATCGATGGAAGCAGCTGATGTCGTAAAGCGATACAGGTATCCTGCACATGTCAATTTCCACGGAACATACGACACATCTTGGTCTATCATTTTTTCCGGAAGGAGACGAAAATCAATACGTTAAAAAGTTGACTTGTCATTTATTGGTTATGGTACATGAATTATTAAATTTTAATAGTCTAAAATATTCATGTTATTGGTACATGAATAACTATAATAAAAATTTCAACGATTATTACATAGCACAGGTATTAAAAAACACCCGACTTATGATTGGCTCACTGAATAAACTTATATATATGTATATATTTTTCAAACTATACGAGAAAAATGTTTAACCAACAAAAAATGTCTAGAAACTTTCCAGAAAGTTTCGATATTTGCTCCCTTGATCCCCACGATATGACGCTACGTTTGAAAACACAATAGCTATTTCACTCTTCATAGCGTTTTATTGGGGCTTAAGAGTCCCACAATGCATCGGATCGCTGCTGAAACATCGAACGTGGTAGTTTCATGTCACGCATTGAACGTACAACTCCGGAATTGTATACAATACGAATGAACAACAATCGGAAGCTGAAATGTCAACTGGTATGAAACTTCATAGATGTATGCCGATCGGCGTTGTTATCTTTTGTAATTCATTTTTTTTTTTCATTTTCTGCCGAGAATCTAAAAAGCGCCACATAACTACACATGTCTAACTTTAAAATCTCATTTCGTTGACATAGTCAAAAATACAGGTGTACCTGAAATATATGAAGTTTACTCGGTATAGTTCCAAGTATTTAGCGCGTTTAAAAAGTTGACTGCGATCCATTACACAGCGGAGAGATAACGATCTCAGCCAGGAAATTGCCAGGATGCATGCCAAACGACACTACAAGGTAGGACGGCTCTCGGAGAAAAATGCAACGTCTAATTAAACGTCGTGGGATAATTAATTAAATGTCACCTCCATTAGACCGCTTTACTTTGCCATTGTTAAGAGTGCAAGCCGACGACTTTAGTTCCTCTGCATAAATCCATCATAAGGGCTTTCGAGCTCTTTACGATAAGCGTTGCACTTTTGTGATTCTATTAAAAAGGAGCAACTTTATGTTTTTAACCGAGCAATAATGCCGACTACGTGATTACGACTGCGTAGCTGTATAATGCTAAAATACGATTGCTATTAAACTTCTACGTAAGAAAATATATCCGAGCATTATATTAGTTTGAATTACTACTGTATCTTCGTATACTAACTTATTTGCACGGAGACAGATAATCTGCTGGTAGCCTCGGGGCATAAATATTCTACGTGCGACAAATGGATGCAGGCCACGCGCGTCATCAGTCAGAACCTGGCATTAATTTAACGCGATGCACATTATTAGGTGCTGTAATTAATATTAACGTCACTATACCATCGAGCGTATAACTGTAATTAGATAACATCGATGTCATTAGCACTATTATTATGCGAAGCTTTGTTCCCTTGTCCCATATACCTTGAATCGCTAATGCGAATATATGACTCTGCTTTTCCGATAAATATACCGAAGCGGAAAAGGCCTCTACGTGTACTTGCATATGTGAAATGCATTTGCGAGACGTCGATTCGCTGGAATGGCTTCGCGCGCGTAGTGATTGAGCAAACAGTGAAATAAAAAGTAATACGAACCCGTCCAATTGTTCGGGCAAACATGACTACGTAAAGCACAGGTGTTGCCTTTCGAATTCAAGCTCAAACTGACTGAAACGAATTCCTGTTAAAGTGAAATATCAATTTTTAATTTCTGCACGAATCTATCAAAGATACACGGCAATGCAATTCATTCTCTCATGGAAGATAATGTCGAACGTTTGAAGTATGATTTTCTTTTGGCAAATACTCATATTGAAGGCTGGTTGATTAAAGGATTTTTTAGTGCAGTGTATTGATTCATACACGCCTGGCAATTAAGTGTCTTTTTTTCGCATTTATTATTGCAATCTACTGCTCCCCTTACAGAGAGCCGCTGTGCGATTGAAAGTATTCTCCAAAGGCAAACAAGTCTGTATAAATTTATGTAGAAGTTATTATAACTCGAGTATAGACAAAATGATCAAAGGTCGAATTTTAATTAGTAATTAGAATAGTATTTACTTATTAATAATTAAAAAACGTAATATTAAACTATCAATTTAGTCGCGCTCAATCTTTATTAACTGTCAAGTATGTGCTTCTTGTCGTCACGATTGTTTTTGCAATTACGTATTTATCGTGATTAAAAATATACAATACAATTGTGTAATGAACGAACAATGTACTTCCGGGATAATTTTTTTTGTGCGTCAAGTGACGTGTTCATATTTCGTTATGAAATTTGCTAATGAAACACGTGGACCGTGATTGGACAGAGAACTGCTCTCTCAAATTAATTCTGTCAACCGTGCAATCTATAAAGCCAGGTTGATAAAATGTTCATGGTATTATTTGCTTCATAAATACAATCAGGTTACCTCGATAACATGCACGTGATTTTATTTGCTATTGAAAAATAAAATAATGAAGAGCAACGACCTCGTGTCCCAGAATATATTTGCATGTAATTTCTGAAAAAATAAATCTTAATCTAAAAGCTCAAAGTGGTTCTTGAAAACGTTGAAGAATCTCTACGACGCAAAAGTTACTTTGGTAGCTTCTTGCGATAATGGTCCGATACTTCCGGTTACCAAGAGAATTATGCATTTCCCTTCCATGCAAGAGCACACAGCTCTGACTCTCTCTTTTACCGTCTTCTCCGTCCTCCTTCAAACCCCTTGTCATTTGTCTTCCTCCGAGATAGAAGCAAAGTTTCAAAGACCGCCGCTAAGTTGCATCCCAAGTGGCCGCAAGTACGAGAGGCTCCTAAATTTTCTCATTGTTAAATTAATGGTACCCACTGCACGAAAATGTTCGCCTATAGGTACAGGTAGAGGAGACTTGTCCAAATACATATAAAGACAATGCGTGGTTCAGAGTTTGCTATGATATAAATTGTTACCGCAGATAATGGTAAAGTGAATTAAAAACTAATTTTCAAAGTCGATATCATAATTGCGTAGAGTCACATTTAACCCTTGGTCTGCCATAAGAGATAACGGAGGACGTAGAATAATACGATTATTTTTCTTCAATTCGAATTCAATTAAACTGACGGCATGTAGCTGCCATTGCGCTCTTACTGTTCTAACGTTTGTGCAAATATGGGCTCCATTTGCCGCCCATCCGAATTGCAAGGGATTCTTCCTCAGATACACGCAAGGCTGCTTAACCATCGTAATTTTAACTTTACCGAACGCAAAACCCTTTCGTAATTAAATGCAAGTTCAAAGAGTGTCTTTACCCTTTATACGTGTAATTAATTTGCAATTAATTACCGTTGCCATTACCGTCCAACGAATCGAGGACTGAGGCCATTTTGTTCGACCACGCTGATAGGACTGGCGAAAAAACTCCGCTGAGGTTGAGATTGAATTTTTACATTATTCATAGCGACTTTATTAACTGATATCGCGAAATTAGTATTTCCGCGAGAAAGATTACACTGCTAATTGATAACCCAATCATCAGCGTGTAGAATCCCATTAATAACGTATAGATTGTTAATTTTCTTACGCTCTTACTATGATCCGTAGTCATTATCGTACTGCCTGTTAGCAATGCATATAAATTAGCCTGTTCGCTCCAAAATAAATCTAAACCAGCCTCCCTGCACGCTATGGTGACTCTATTTAATGCGTCTAAATAAGGAGAACCGTACGGTAAAAAATACGTAACAAACATTGGTATAGGACACTCTTTCATGAGATGATAGAATGGAGTCCCATTTTCCGAGACAATCTTAGCCTTGCACATGTAAGTTGCTATGCTGTACGGACTAGCGTAAGCATTTTGCCGATTTTCCTTCATGTATAATTGATAATTATTGTCCCCTAAGCTAAACACACCCACGTCTTTGGGAATGTATTTTCGCAATATATCTACAAAAGAATCGTAGCTGTAAACAGATACGTTTCTTCTATACAATTCATCAAGCGTATCGATTTCTGGATAATAATCCAAAATAGTTAAAAAGCGATAGAGCGATCCTTGATAAGCTCCCATTAATAATAACGAGCACATTGACCAGTTGAACAGCACCATTCTCTCGCGGTACGTCAAGTATCTCTTGGGTAAATTGTATCCAATGAAAATGCCAAATGCATTGAAGAATCCGTTTTCAGGTATCTTGTTATATTTGTTATACGCGTAATTTACGATACCGCATGCGAGCATGCTCAGGACGATGCACATCCAGATGACAGGACGGTAGGGATTGAATACATTTGGAATCTTTGGACCACTCTTCGGTGCCATTATGCAAACGTTATTACTCTGCAGAGGATATATCTGTTCGGTTCTGCTCTCGAACACAGAATCCGTCACAAAGAACGTGAACCACAATTCGACATCCTCAAATCTTCGGACTTTCCAGAAATTATAGCGATATGGAAAATAAGTGTAAAGGCTAATCGTCTCGTTGGACAAATTCTTGTAGTGTGGTCGTGCATTGGCAGCCGTAAAGAATGATTCGAGATAACCATAATCTTTTCCATAAAATTTGTAACTCTTTGTTTCCTTCACGTATTGAGCCACCTGTTCACCAATGTATGGAATATACTCGGTGCAAATTTCATGACCGTTCATATCCTTTATTTTATCATAATACGTCTGAGATGGCGAGACGGTCTCAAGATAATTCTCAAGGTAAGGATTGTACGTGTAAACTTTATCATGTCCTTGTACTATTACAGCGATATTCAAAGTTTTGCGTTTCCAACATTCCACGAATATCAACTTCAGAACTGTTACGTTTGTTACATCTTGAATTAATACCAAGTGCTTCGATCTTGGATTCCACAAGTGTAGGGAAGCCAAACGATCCAGTTGATTGAGAAATTCGTATATATTTTTAACAATAATCATAACGAAATTGTAATATGCTATATTCTGTAGTTTCGTCGAGTCTCCAGTGCCATTTGATTTTGGCAGTATCATTGAAGGTACCACTGAATGTTGCGATAATACCTTTAGTACTTCATCGATCAGTGAACAATTAATGCTGCCTGCTATTGCAATTGAGTGGCTATCAATAGCATTTTTCTTTAATATTTGTATCAAGACATTTTCCGTCCTCGAGTCAATTTGTCTTCTCGATATATCCGATATATCGTAAAGCGAAGCGTTCGCGAATAGCACATCGATGTGATAATAATTTAAAGCACAATAAATGATCAGACAACGTGTAAACGATAACATTATTATATTTTTCACTCTTTTGTTAACTGTTAAATACGATCGGGGACGTTTAAAGCTCGCCACTCGTCCTAGTGAAAATTATGAAAAGGACCAAACGATAATGCGGAATTGTTGGCAGAGCGCCCAGACTCTTGTACCGACACTGAATCCCACCGTGCTCAGTAATGCCTTGTTATGTCCCTGGGAAAATCACGTGTAATAAATGACCGATCGTAAGGCGTGTACTTTATATACAATAGAATATCATCATTAGCGTTGAATAATTGATAGATTTTCTCTACATGCAGATAAGCAAGAAGCATTGATGCTTGTCGAAAAAAAGAAGTATCCTTCTATAACAACAGTAAAAGACAATCAGTTTGGGGTTGGTATTATTTCCTTATGACTTCATAAAGATGATGTACGCGACTCATGGAATATATATTTTATACGTACAGTGAATCTTTTCCATATTACTTTATAAAAAAAAATCACTTCGAATATAACGTGCTGTAGCCTGTGTTGTTGGCCTAAGATGAGAACATTTGCGAAAGGTTTATGTGCAGAGCGCCGATAGTGCCAGTGAAAGAATCGCGTGCTGCGCTTCCCTTCATGAGAAATTCGCACGCGACAAATAAAAGACGAGGACGATAATCGCACGAATCGCGAATCATTCTACTCTCCTGCAATTCGCATCGATCGGCTCTCTATATGCCGATACGGACACTCCGTTACGCAATTGGTAATGTAGCCACGTAATTATTGATCATTGTGAGAACAACCGGCTGACGGCTGAAAGCATTTTTATTTCCTGGAAAGTGCAAAGTTACGGGCAATCAATATTTATCTCTGGCCAATAACGGTCCTTCGTATGGATAAGAGGAGAATACCAGTTATGAATTGCTGACTGATTTTTTAAGTGCATAACTGATCGTATCTGTGAATGGATATTGAGTACGTTTGATATAAAGATTTTCAGGTGTATGTATAAAGATATTTTTTTTTTCGAAAAAATACATTTTTATATTTTAATCAATTTCTGGCACCTCTTACAGGCACTCCAATTATGAAATAACTTCCACCGAATTTCAGCGTCACTTGCAAAATTCAAATTGTACCGTTCGTGGAAACTTCTTCCTTAGCCCGAAGAGTCGCAACATCTCGCCGCAACGGTGCTGCAGGTGCGCGTCAAGAGTTTTCAGAATCTAGAAACGACGGGGGTTGAACGATTTGACTCTTGACGGCGGAATGATACTTCGTGGAAAGTTTGTCTATGAGAACGAACTTTGCATCATGTTGTTTGTTTTTAAGTAATATATTACTTCATGATTGAGAAACATTGCGGATGATTAATATATATAGGAAATAACCAAATTTAATTACGTGAATATCTAGTTTCGAGCAAATTTATATCCAACTGAAAATGAATTTACCAATGGACGCTGGTTCAATCGAAGTTTGGTCCATTGGGACAATTGGCTCCTACCACTAGTATGCTGCATTGTCAACGTTACAAAATTGGTTCAAGCTTGCGTGAAAATTGAGTGACTCTCGACGGCGTTTATTAACCTCAGTCCCGAATTTAATAATTAATTTTCTTAATCAAGATAGAATTACTTTTTAATCAATAGACTGACTGCAGTTTCAATTCGTATAGTATATTTATAACTGACTATATACGAATATGGGTATGGTAATATGATGTATTTACAGTTTGTAGAATTAGACTATTAGAATCAAATTACGCTTTGCATATTGAATTGTCATTTATAAATAGATACTAATTACGTTAAGTTACCAGAACCTAATACATTTGATTTGGGGTAAGGTGATCTACTTTTATGTATGGCAATAAAGATACGAAATATTGCTAGAGCAATAATAATTTTAGTCATTATTGGAATACTGTATTACGGTGAGTACATATGTCATAATACTTTACAAAGTATAGTAATTTACGATGAAATAAGTTGTTTGGCACTGAGGAAAGTATGTTGGGTAGTCCAGTTGAAATACTTGATTATTCAATATATACGAAATTTATGATGATGAATAAGACGTTTATATCATATTAAAAGAAAAAAAAAATTTGTGGAACATTATATATAATATGTTCTCCAACAACGTTATTTCCAGTTGAAGAAAGCGTGACGATAAGCGCACACCTTAACTTAGAAGTGTTCATTCGCCCGTATTAATTGAGAAAAATTAATTAATAATGAAAACTGAATTGATATTAAAGTCAATTTGTCAAGTGCTCGGAATTTTTCCAATAAACGTTAAAGGAAGAACATTTACAATTTCGAAATTATATCTTGCCTCAAGTTATCTTGTATTGTTCTACTTAATTTCAGTCATAGTGTTGTTTCTCACGCGTTTACAAAATGACAGTGATGGCCATAGTCCTTGCGGAGTGCTAATAAAATTAGGCCAGTTTATATTTTTCATGAAAGTCTCTGCGTCAATCGTTGCTATTACTAGCAATATTATGTATAGACATAAGAACGTAAAATTCTATAATCAATTGATGACTCTTGCATCCTGGGATCAATATACAGGCCAGTCAACATTTAAAATATCTGGTACCATCAATCTGGTGGTAATGATAGCGATTGGTTTTTTGTGCCTTCAACGGATTCTAACATTTTTATTACTTTCGATCTCGAACGGGAATAATTTCGATTGGTACACCGTTTATAGTATGTTTATAGAATTTCCCGTATTTTTTGACACAATTGTAATTTGCCGACTGTGCGTTGTCATGTCAAATTGCCACCATCAAGTCAAAGAGCAGATAACGAATATATATGCAACGTACTGCACAGAAAAATCTGAAAGCAATACACGAGAAAATAATATAAAAATAATATCAAATTCAATTATTCAACCAACGATCACACAAAGTAAGGATAAAAGTTTTTGCGAATAATAATTGTGCGATTTTAATTGAAAAAAATTTTATTACAGAAAAAATCATACCAAATATGTCAAAACTAGTGAAGAAGCTGGAACATTTACGTCATACTAATTTTAAGCTATTTCAGATGCATATGTATTTTCTGTCTTCGCGTCAATTTCAATTATTTCTCTTGTTCACTGATATATTACTTGAAGTTATGATCAATGTTTATACACTCCTATTGGCTATAGCAAAAAATTTAGGCATGAGTGCACTCTGTTACAACTATATGGTTGTCGTCATACTGTCCAAATTAATCAGTTTATTCATGTTATGCTACTACAACGGAAAGGTATTCCAAGAGGTAAGCGAATTTACGTGTTTCTCTTGTTATCATGGATGTCCAGTATACATGGAAGTCTAGTACCAGAATGTCGTTTAAATTCTATATGTACTGTCATCCCGAAAAGACGAAATACATATCAGAAATAAGGCCACGAATTCAGTCTAGCTTAAAACCTAATACGATTTTATGTATGCACTAGACTATAATATATTTTATTTTCCTTCAAAGGGCCAGAATACGAAACATATATTACAAAAAATTAGAGCACTGTCATTGGAACATCAATTTGTAATGTCGACAAACGCATTCATCCGTCAGATCAAGGAAAATAAACAGTACAAGATTTGTGGTTTGAGCTCATTGGATATGTCGTTTCCGATTAAGGTAAAAAAAGGTATGTATGAAAACAAATTTCACTTGCTAAGCTTCTTGACGTAATTTCAGATTCTAGAGTACGTCGTAAATTACATATTAGTGTTTGTACAATTTCTTGGGTTCCAAGAGTAGAATCTAAGAAAAATAGTAATAATGGGTATCGTGTAATACACGTTAAGATGAATAGTTGCCACTCTGCGCTTAATTGACTTGAATTAAAGTACTGTTTATCGTAATAGACTGTAATAATTTTTATTTTCAACACCTTCGTAGATAAGCAAACTTCGCTAATAATACTTGTAGGATGATTATTCTAGCCACTTACCAGGACTTAGGAGCCACCGTCGGTTTCAGAGAGATGATGGACGAGGCGGTGTAATTAGTCAGAGCGAAATTGGGCCTGTGGCGGGGTTCGTTGGAGGAGTGTGAGTCACTGTTCGTAGGTTCGTAAGGTTCGCAGGTTCGTGAATACGTAGGTTTGGGGCTTTGGCGTAGAGTGCAAATGCAAGACTCTCAAGACGGATGAGGCACAACTATGCGGTAGTCACGCGCCAACCACCCGCGGATTTATGTTCGGGTAATGGAGTTTCCCTGCATTTTCGTCTTCGTTGAGGCAATTCATTTGGCGATTATCAGAAACTGTAAAACACCCTCGATATGCTCATAGGATTGAACCTTTGATCAAACGTTCACAATTACAAAAGTCATATCATTTCGTAGATTTGCACGCGATTCTAATCTGAACTGGAGCACAAAAAAAAACTCAGAATTCTTAGCAAATAAATAATAATATGTAACATATTAATTGATCCTTGAAATATTTAGTGGGATAACGTTTTTTATTGGTGCGGCAATATTTATATGCGACTCTTGGTGCGACAAAAGTCTTTGTAAATGTATATAGTTCTCGTAGGTTTTAAAACCTAGAAATACCTGCAATGGGAAGCGTAACTGTTTTCGAAGCGTGCAGTCCTGATTTACCCCGAGGGGGCCATTACCAGCTTCGCAAACTAGAAATTGACGGTGATCAAAGTTTAATTGTACCCTTATCGTATACGCCTAGGCTGCCAACTAAACTGTAACGTGTTGGAATCTACCAATGAGCTAATTTGCGATCAGTTTGCAGAAGTTGTGTATCAGTGTGTTTTTCGTGGTAGAAAAAAAATAAACGAAACGAACGACAGTAGATATACCAGCTCTATGCCACATGCAAAAGAAATAATTTATTACCATAAAGTTATAAACTAGCGAAACGCATTCAACAGCCGTCACTTTTCTCTGGGATTTCTGAGATATTTATTAAGTGATGAAATAAAGGGGGGAGGGGGGGTTAACGGGCAAACTCTACTTTCCACATGAAGTTTTCAGAATAGATAACATTTTTCTCAACTCGCAAAAGTCGAGTTTAAAAACTTTTTCACTAAAATAATTTCTCCGCCAATTCCACCTTCTAAGAAAATTAGACAAAAATTTTCGCATGGCACACAATGTCCACAGAGCACACTTCGCATATCCCACAATGGACTGCTCGATGTAGTTAAAATGCCGTAGGTGAAAACTATGCGGAAATTCGATAATGATTCGTAAAAATTGTTAGAACGATAAAAGAATTATATTTCTCGTTGCCAGTAACCCAGTTCCTTTTTTTTCTTCTATACACATTTCCGATTCGACTCACGTGCGAGCACCTGGTGCTGCCAGCTGCTGAAGAAAAATTCTTGGACGGCAAGAATATCGATGGGAGGCAATGTGTTTGTTCGTGAATTATTTTGAGTGAGTGTAATGCTTAGAAATTGCCATATTGCCGACCGTTGAGCTCGCTTGTCGAATATGTCATCCACGATACCGCAGAGTCTAATGATTTAGAGCATTAACATGGCTCTATGATATCCACGAGGTAACCACTCTCTCGTTTCGATAAAAGTCTCATGCGAAAAAATATTCTTTATCTCGTCGCAAAAAAAAAGGACTATCAAATCATATTCTTGGAACGAAATTTTTCTTTCTCGGCAACCAATGCTATATCCCGGATGAGTAACTGCTCTATCTCGTCCATTCGACTTCTTTTACGATACCTATCCTGCCCTCTGATTGGTCACGAAGACAACGTTTCACCTCGATTTGCGATTCAAACCTCCAAGGTTTTGCTCGTTAGCGAATTGCGGCCATTGGATTACCATGGCCCCATATAGGTACATTTGCTGCCCTCTTCGGAACGGATCGTTCCTCCTTCCTAACCTATTCCATGGAAAGTCGATCGCAATCCTTATTTAATACGGATTACCACGGTAGCGATCCTCTTTCACGAGAGAGCTAAAGTTTTACCCATTTTCAACAATGAGACTCTGGTTTCACTTCCACGAGGAGGATTTAACTGGGATGAGATACAGGGAAAAATTGAGGCTGGTAAAGTTGCAGGGCGCGTTGTAGTCAGATTGATTGGTAAAGAAAAGGAAATTGAGATAATAAAAGATAGTAGGGAGATGGGGAAGTACAGGGAAGCAGGTAGAACGATAAAGAGAGTAAAATGAAGAATCAGGCTGCACTCTGTACTCGATCTGTAGCACAAACTCAACTTCGTTTTGAATGTGACGGGCGGATATGAATTTCGCGGGATATGCGCAGTCGAACTGTCTCTGAGACTGTTCCGTATGTCTGTCCTGAACCATAGTACATTGCTACCCCTGAAGTAGCATCTAACTATCGGAGACACTTCCTAATGGACTGCCAAACCACGGTCGTGGCAGCTATATTAACCCCCTAGTTAAACAAGGATGGGAGAACTGACCTTCTCAGGACAGCTAGGGTGACTAGCGATTATAAATCTGCTGGAGAATCTCAATCAAAAAGGAAATCATACTCCATTGTGAAGTCGCTGTAACATACAGTTCTTGAAAAAATTGAACAAATAAAATATTTCTTTGTAATGAAAAATCTCCCTGAGTGACTATTTGAATAGCTTAGTAGTGTTGTGATATTGCTTGACTTAAGATACTTATAATATTGGTCACCTAGAACTGGAGATGATATTCAGAATAAAAATGATTTACCGAAATTTATACAATAAACGTATTGATTTTTAAATTATAAGTATATATGTATACATACATATAATTAGGGAAGACTGTGCAACAGTTCTGCAGTTTATTGGATGTTAAAAGTGCAAAAGTATTTTCGAATTAACGCATTGCCGAAGGGGCATTGCGCGTTGCGCTTGACATGAGTACGGGACTATTTTCCGTCGATCGTTTCAATCGCGTAAGGTTAGAAAAATTGCTGTCTAATCTAATCTAATTAATAGTTCAGAAAGCAATTTTAGGAAAGGAGCAAAGTACTTTTTATTTTTATACAGAAAAATTAGACAATTAGACTTGAAACAAAGTAAAGAACTTAAATGATGCGTTTATGCGTTGTCCGTCGCCAATGTGTTAAGATATAAGAATAGAACGTTAAGGTAGTATAGAGCAAACTTGTGACCTGCGAGTTTTATCGGATAACAGAGGTAGCCAACGTGCAACGAAGCTTTAAGTTTATTTTAAAGGTATGTACCGCAGTGTCGAGTTTGAAAGATTCATCGTGCTCAAATGTAAGTGGTACATAGATTTATGTGAGCCGTTGGTAACCGAGTTTTCGGTAATATATAAGAGACAAACAAACTGTTGGGTATGGGTTTCTGTTGAATTTAAGACAGTTTTATACGTTTTCATAATCTTTATTGTAGGATTCAAGTAGATGAAAAAGAAAAACAATAATAGACAAGCCTAGGCTGCTCATCCTAGGCTTATAGAAGCGAATGTCTCGGTGTGTATGCGTGTGGATGGATGGATATAGGAGAAAGATGTACGGGCAGTAATGGACACGACGTTGTAAAGGCCGGACAAAATAAAAAGAGAAACCTCCAAGTTACGAGAGCAGTGATTTCGCGCCTTCCCTATCTATACCTATATAAAAGATCCTACATTATTTATTATGAATACTAGAGTGCACAAAATGGTCTCAGTATCATATGTCGCAATGGTATCATAAGAAAAATAACATGACATGGTACGATATTGGTATACATTTTGGATATACTTTGTATTAAGCAATTATATACAATTTTTCAAGTAATCTGCCATAACCATACATATAAGTATCGTTACAAAATTTATTATTTACTTGTATATGTATATGTACCCTAGGTTTATTACCTCAGATAATAACTATTTGGATAAATTATATAGTAACACTTCCCATCATGATGATAAGGAAAATCCATATCTCGACGTGTATGTATGAACATACATATACTAAATGCGAAGAGTCCATGGCTCAGGACGTTGCAGTAATAGATTTTAAAATAATTTCAATTTGTTCTCTTGTAATATCTGCTGCTTAATTTCGATAACAAGCAGAACAAATAGGAATGGGATGAAATATCAGACCACATGGTAACAGATCGGCACTTTTCGATATTCAGAAGAATAACCGTTCTATCTTCCTTTTTTTTTCGCGAACGCGCCTTAATTTAAATGTAAGAAAATATAGTTGCGATCATGATTTCCATTCCCGACGCAGCATATTCCGCGTGCTGCGTTAATTTCCATATTTTTTGCGCCAGCCAGAAATATAACCACTCTTGGAAAGTTATTTCATTTTTTCATTTTACACGTTTCTGCTGCCTTTGACGATAAATATCGTTCGCTGGTGGTGAAGGTAGATCTTCCTCTTCGCTGTCATCGCCCCCTAATCGCGTTCTTCTGCGTTTTGAACCTGTTCCTGTGCCGTCATTACTCTCATCAACAATCCAATGGACGGACTTGGCTAGGTCAAATAATTTTGTGTCACACCCATTGTCTGCTATTGGTAAAGGTGCTGAAATTGAATAAAATACCAGTGTCGATATTGTAAACGCACATAATAATCAATATGATAAATCATTAATCAACGAGTCTCTTACCGTGATCGGGTAATTGAATTCTACTAAAAACGTCCATAAGTAAATCAACAGCTACGAACGGACCTCTGAAGCATCCTGGTGGAGGCAGTATTGTACATAATTGTGCTGCTGCTGGAGGCAAAGGAAAAGTACCACCTAGAAAGGAGACATGTCAGTTAGATTTATGTGCTATTATTCACTATACACATATTATTGAGGTATCATGACACGTACCTGGAACTGGGTGTTCGCCAGGTACAGCATTGACCTTTGGCTTGTACGGAATCATTTGTGATATATCTGGTCTGGGCAAAGCTGCCATAGCTTTTTCTGGATCTGGCGCTCGTGGCATGGCGCCTGTAGAATTTCTCGCAACACTAGAAACCTCTATATACCCGATAGAACGTAATTCCATAGACGTACATGGGTAAAGATCAAGAAACTTATACCTGTCCACTAACTGAGCCGTTTCCTTGCCTTCGAACTCTTTGATCTGATGACAAATATTGTAACAAATGATCAGTAAGTTTTTAGATAAGGGAAAAAACAATTCTGTTTTTTAATACTAACCTTCTCCAGTACAGCACTCCTTCTTTTTTCGACTTTTACTATACTTGCGAGATCTCCTATATTAGATTCAAACTCCAGGAAACGATTCCAGATATCACTGTAGAGAGTAATAACAAGTTTAATACATATGCTACATATGGATTATGGTTTTTGTTAAAAATTATGACTTAAGATAGCCAAATATTAACTTACACTGATTTTTCTGGTTCCAAGCTACCAGACGACAATACCCTTTCGAACAGTACTCTGGTATTGTTATCCTCTGGAAACGAGTTCAATTAGCGTAGTAACACAATTGTTATTTTGTAAGATTAAGTACATAGTATAGTATGCTTAAATAATCTTCCTTACCATTCAAATGGGATAGATAATCTATATAACAAAGAATATATTCGGGGTTATCTCCAAATTTTTTTAATCCCAACTCGAAGATTCGGAAGGCAATATTTTTATCTTTCGTACAATAGTATTCCATTAATGCAGCAGCCACGTAAACGTGGTGCCTACTTCGTCGATCTTCTCGAGCTCTTTTAAAAACTGTTCTAGCAGATTTGATACCTTCGGCACGCCTCGCGAATTTCATATATTGTACATAAGCCTATAAAAAACAGTGAAAGGAGAAACTTAGAAAACAACCAAAGTAATTCATTGCAGAGCTTTGTTAAAATTATAAGCCGTTAATGAAAAAAAAAGAAATGGACTATTGTTAATAAAAATATATCGAACGTGAAAATAACACTAACCAAAGTAGGATCGATATCAGGAATATCGAGAAACTTCTGATAAATCTGATGGACTTTCTCGTACTTCACTCGACCCTCTTCGAAATCTGCATGTGCAAAGTAGAGCAACATATTTTTTGACAACAAAGTGCTCGTTGCTCTTTCAAACATATTTGCGGCTTCATCGCTCAAAGTTTTCGCTGCATTCACATCTCCTTTTTCGGTCAGAATTTTCGAACTCAGTTCAAGAAAATGTGCAGCTTGGTGCCATACTGCTGGATGGTGGCCCAAACATAGTAAACACTGTTCAATAGCGAATAAAACGCGACGAGCTACAAGTGACGTATCTTCAGTTCGTAATGGATTGCTGCGTTCCCAAGCAATATATTTCTTCCATAATTCAACCTACGATTAATATTATTTTGGATATTGTTTAGTATTGTATATACATATGTCATAACATTATATTAGTATAATTATGTACCTGTTTTACTTCTTCGGGATGTCCAGTAGGAGGTACACTGGGAGCACTCCTATTTAGTCCTCTTGTAACAGCTTCTAATTCCTTAGCAACACGGCGCGCATTCATGTAATCTCTGGACCTTTCAATTGCCATTTTCTCTGCAATTATTGGATTAATTTTTTGTTCAAAGGCCATGTAATCTTTCCATAATTGTTCCATATTTATCATAGGATTAATAACACCTCGTTGGTATACCTGTAATATAACAAAAATGTTCTTTTTCTAATGTTGAATTACATCTAACTAAGTGTAAGATAAAAGTGAAATTGTCATGGACATAGTAAACATGCGTACTTACGATTAATAATAAAAATGTTTCCCGCTTTATTAAACTTTTTACATAGTAATTTACAATACAAAGTTTTCAAACTTTCAACGCGTAAAAGTTATATTTCTGAATAATAAAATAAGGTATCTACGAGAAAACGATGTAATCCCATTTTACCTTTCGCACGGCACTGATCTTTTGATTTTCAGCATACGAGCCAACAGCTTCTGCACTTTTTAGAAACATGACGTAGTCGTTCCAAATGCTGTATGAGTGTATGTCCATTCCAATACGATCCAACGCGAAGTCATATGCTTGTGCCATTTTGGATCTAAAAAATAACGCAATAATAGATACTAATTCAATTGGATATGAAATAATAATTAAAAAACTGACACACAAACTACTTACTTATACGTAGTAAGAAATGACTTTGCTTCTTTAACGTATGAAAGGTAGAGTTTCCATAATTCGATATTTAAGATTTTCATTAGGCACCTTTGGAAAAGCTGTGAGGGAAAACAACATAAAACACGATGTTATAATTAATTGTGAAACGAATGAATCCTTAGTTGGACAAAAACAAATTTTAATTGATTTCCAACTTGTAGCAAAACTCATACCACTACCACCTTACTTACCCACGAAGGCAAGTTCTATACATACACATAAATGTTATTACAATCACGTTGAAATATTTATTTTTTATATAAATATATGTATAAGAAGTGAAAATTGAAATATTTATTTTGTACTCTTTTATTGCACGGTTGTACCTATGATATTGTTATGTAATAATTGGGATAAATAATAATGCACCAATGCATTAATTATGAATGGTTTATTATATAAAACATTGATATTGTTGATCATTGCAAAGTAGGGTGTCTGTTGTCAATAAAAAGAATAATAGTAAGAAGTGGATAAACAACGTAACATGAACCCCACAAAATAAAAAATTTATTTATTCTCTACAAGTGGGGGGAAGGGGTTAATAATACTGTAATGAGCCTGTGTGGGATCTAGAAATAATTGATCCCAAAACGTTATAAAAAAAATGAAGACAAGGCAAAGCAGCATAAAGTGACATTGCGTATATAATATTCTTCAATTCAATTATTGATTGTGAACAAAGAACCATCAACTTCATTATTGGTTTAACACTTGGCAATTGAATGAAGTAAAATAAAAAATAAACAAAGATTTCGTCACTTTACGCTACTTCTGAAAATTGTTTACGAGCACGTGAGGTTTATTCTCATGAATTTCCCTCAAGTGTACGTATTGAGGGAAGGTATTCTAAGAAATATTCACCAACCACAGTCAGTCCAGCATTTTAGTTTTCTTGGTCAAACAATTGGCAATTGGTAAAAAAAATTACGATTTACTGTTAAATGTATTTTATTTTAATATCACTCCCTACGTTGATTTGGTGGTTTCCTGTGATCTATATTTTATATGTACGTGCGTTTCTAAGAATTTATATTTCTTAATGTGAAATATTCATATTTATATTTGTATCGTTATGGACAAATAAATCATAGATTCAAAAATATGATTTTTCTTATATTTCAATAACTTTTTTTATTGATATATGACTTTAGCAAATTAACGTTAATAATAATACGTTTACTCCAAGTACGCGAATGTGAACATTCCCATGAGCGTCGTTATTAAATCGCACAGAATCTGTTGTAGGAAGGAGTATAAGGCTGTTACATTCAGAAAGTTGCCTTCTCAAGCTTCTTTGCCAGTCATTACGTATCTTCTATACACTAGAAATAACTTGACTCTAATCATACACATTAAAGAAAGCAACCTCCCAAATGTGTTAAGACAGCAGTAATTAATCAATGAAATAAGTGATTTGTGACGAAGCAAAATTTTTTATTCACCTCACATAATATGCAAAGTGCTCAGAAATCACATAGAAAGATTGTACTTTGGTATTATATGTTATTGGTGCCTCATATGTATTTTACATTATCCTATCCTGATAGAAAAATTACCAAGGGAAACATGTTGTTCAGTTAAATGCATGTTACAAGTGTCTTATTGCAGAATAAGTATGTTACAGAGAATATGAACCAAAATTGTTACATATATCTTGCACTGCTACATTACATTTACACTAAATACAATAGACACACGTATTAAACAGTAAGACATGTACAAGGATGCAAGTGTCCTTATGCTAATTATTTCTTTTAACTGAACAATATGAAGACAATCACAACATAAAATTACTAAAATGTAACTTGCTTGATTTCAGATCAATAATCCAGAAAATTAATGTTAACATACCTGTTCTACCCTCTCATAGTTGCGCATTTTCATCTGAAACAAATAGAAAAACATACATTTTACTGTGTCACCAAAGAATTATGTAAGTAATATCTTGCAATAATAATTATGTTCATTATAACTGTAAGTACATAGAATAAACTACCTCTTGTTCAATGTAAATCTTCCAATATCGACCAGCTGATGGAAACACCGTGACCAGCTTCTCAAAAACTGGCCGTACTTCTGTAATTGGCCTGTTTTGAGCTTCTCTTATAAGTATACTCCAAGCTTCTAAATCATAAGGAGTCTCTTCCACGGTTTTCTGTGCACGCTGCAACTTCTCATTTCCCCAGTCCTAAATAAAAATATCAAAACTTTATACTCTTGTACCAAACTGCATAACACAAAAGTAATATATAACTAAATATTATTACATTTTAACACTTAAACTAAAATGAAAAGTAATGGAAACCATATGCTGGGTCAATGTTCACTTGAAAGCTAAGGCCTACTCTGGTAAGCATCTGTGATACACTTACAAGCTTTCTTAGAATCATTGAAATTCTTTGCGTGCAAGTATAAGTATATCACACTTCTCATTAGACATATCCATTAATGTTAAACAAAATATTAATATTGTTTAATACTGTATATAATCACATCATAATGATAAAAATTATATCGAGTAACGGAAGTATTTCTGTTGATGAAAAAGATATACTCACAAACTCCGTTTTCTCCTCCGTCATCGTGTTCACGCTCAGTCTTCACCGTGATCCTCAAAATCTTTTCGGCGCTAATAATTAAAAGAAAAATATTAAAGCCAAGAAAAATGTATTTATTTTCAACAAGAGATCCAAGCAACCACTATATGAATAAAGAAGAATGCTCGAAATACACGAAGCTCATACACTGCGGGTGTGACACCAGAGATGAGTAGGGAGATGCTCAACGCTACGGTTTCAGACGATACCAAAAACATGGCGCTAAATCGTAGCGGCGAGTCCGGGAGTAGGACTTTATGATTATCGCCTCCGTCGATAATGCGGATCCTGTCGTAGCCGAGCTGACTGCAATCATGAACGTGGAGCTTGGCGGGCAGAGGTCCTCCGCTATATGTATATTGCTAGTTCCCAAAGCAACACTTGTTAGAATGAGCTGCCTCGTCCTAAGTGTTGCTTTGGGAACCAACGTTGGGTAGTGGAGAACCTCTGCTCGCCAAGCTACGCGTTCGTGTTCCCGTTTAGCTCGGCTACGACGGGATTCGCATTGTCGACGGAGGCGATGATCATGAAATCCTACTCCCGGACTCGCCGCTACGATTTAGCGCCATGCTTTTGGTATCGCCTAAAACCGGAGCGTTGTGCATCTCCTCACTCATCTCTGCCTAAAACCATAGCGTTGTGCATCTCCCTGCTCATCTCTGTGCGAACCATTTAAATTAAGAGTTCTGTCGCGGTGGCGTTGATGCATGTAGTGGCATCATGTTAGCTTTGAACGTGACGTCATTAGACCTGCGCGATCCGGACCAAAATACGTTCGCTGGCGGCTATACCTCGTCTATTTGTATCATGTTCCTATTCACCTCTATGCTTGCAGCGCACGGTAGTGTATATATTCCGAACTAATTTCAGTTTAAATGAACCTCTAAAATTTAATGCTGTATTGTACTCAAATTAAATCCAGATGATATAGAAAATCTCTTCGTAAAATATAAAACAGTTTTATACTTTTATATTAATGCTATATACAAACCTGAGGAGTACTAATCACAAGTAGGGATCTTTCAGTTTCGATGATTTCGTGAAACATGTGAGGTGAACAAAAGGATGCGCAACGCATGTCTAGTCTCACTGCAACCATAATAAAAGATCAACTCAATCGAATAGTGCATCAATTGTAGTGAACAATGGCAGAGCATATGTTAAAGAAGATCAGTATGTTAAATAAGGTAACTACGCAAATAAGCTGATAGCTTTTAAATTAAATACAATTTATTACGCCTAGTGATTGTCACTAGGTGCAATCACATTAAAGTGTATTTAGTCATAAAGGCGAATCTGTTGCCACTATATGCTTATAAATCGCTAAATTCTATGCTTACAGAGATATTCTATGATTCTATGATTACAAAGATACAGAAGCGTCAGAATATTTGCATCCCTGATTTTAGCAGAAAAGGCATTATTCGTAATATAATGAGCTCTATCTCGATGTAGATATGATTTTATATAGGTACCGATTTCCTGAAACTGGGCTTTACCCATCATCCCTTTCCAGCTCGAAAGTTTATGTCAAATATCAGTCTACGGTGCTCGATTTGATTACGTACTCAATAATTACAAACTTTATGGGTGAAAAATAATTCAAAGGCTGTAGAAGGGTTAAAAAATCGCTCCCGGGTGGGCTCGAACCACCAACCTTTCGGTTAACAGCCGAACGCGCTAACCAATTGCGCCACGGAAGCCTTATTTCCGGGATATCCTTATTTCCAATATCATTATTTATATACTTAATTACATAAAATATCAGAACGTCAATCAATCAAGAGATAAATGCTTGCCAGGAACTTTCCACGATAGCTTATGAATCATAATCATTATCTTAATGATGGTACATGCATAAGATAAAGTAATACTCACAATCATACTAAGCACGCATGTCGTATAAATAAAATTAAACAAAAATTGCAATAGTATGTCAACAACACTTCTAACACAAATTTACGTAATTATTAGTAAAAATGTGTTTCCTTAAGACAAAGGAGAACCAACACAACAGAAATCCTTTTAAGCATGCCGGCTGTCGATCACCACGCAACCCGCATCTCTCGTTTCGTTAAGCCCAATCCGACGTTGAATCTCCGTGACAATCGCGCAATTTTTCTCAAAGTAACTCGCAAAGCCGATTGGAACGGAACATGTCGCCAAGTCTTCAAACAAATCAGCGGAGACGTGCGATAAAATGCTTGGTGAGGCGGCTTTGCCGAGCGCAAAGGATGTCGCCGCAACCTCAGATCGTCCCCACACAATGGCCAAGAGTGAGTCCACTGTCAACTGGATCCCAAGATGCCTTCGATGGACAGACGTCTTCGAAGTTCAAAGCTTCGTAAATCTACAGTATGTATCATTCCGATCATGGTACATAGAAATCGATTGGCCAGTATCGACCAGACATAGACAATACTTTTAAAAATAACAAAGCGTGCACCATTTCAACTCTTTAGATAGCGAAAGATAAGAGATCCTGCAATAACGTTAATCTGATTACTCTCAATATGTATTTTAGTATATCCCAATGCTTTATACTGTATTCTAAGAAATATAGCAGTCTAGTTAATATTCGTCGACATTCGCACCTGACATAAGTCACACCCACCGATAAACTTTAATCTAGATAAAAACTGAAGTAACTCGATGGAAACTATTTCAATTTTCAAGCACGAGTAATTACACGAATAGAAAGGTACTACGCGTAGATATCAGTCACGTTCGAGTCAAATATACTGTGACGGGTTCGTCGATCAGCCCCAGGCAGAAATGCAGCACCAATCTCCATAAATACCCACCTGTTGGCGATTTGTGATCTCTTCTAGGTCTTACAGTTATATTGCGATTCTGAAACGATTTCCACAAAGATCGTGCATAATGTAATGAAGTATTACCAACGAGACTGAGATCGATTTAAATCTTTTTCGATGTTCCTAGTCAATTTTCGTTGACCATGTCGTAAACTGTTATAAGACGTCGGTTCTTGACTATCAAAAATTTCCATGACGTTCGGACACTCACTGACACAAAGTAATATTATTATTACTTTTTTTTTAAGTAAATAAGAATTTTCGTGGGAATTGTTCTCGAAGACAAACATCTATTTTAGATATTCAAAGTTGATAAGTGAACAGTGAAGGTACGTCCATTATGCCACACAGGGCCGAGGTCTAAACAGATCGATTAAACGATCAATTTGCATTTAAGCGTAACTAACTTAATGCAGGGAACAGATGCATATATGCAAAGCCGCGTACCTGCCGTTTACAAATGGTGATTTCACTTGGCCATTTGCTGTTTGCGCATGCAACAAATTTCTATTTTGCATAGCAATAGTTCTGTAACAAGGCGCACTGAGGATTCAGTTATATCTACACGATTGCCAGCGCAAATAAGACATCAAGCGTTTCAAATTTTTCTCACTAACAACGACGTCCTTACAATTATCCATCAATTTTTCTATACCGTCCGATCGCCACGATTCAACATTAGCCAACCGCATGTACCAGTTTAATAAATTCATAACATAGCAATCGCCATTAGCATAACAGTGTCAGGTACAAGATCGTTCGCTTGAGCCATGGCTAAGGGCCAACGTTGAAAAATCGTCATTACGAAATGATCCATCTTTTCGAACGAACTGTTCAAATTTTTGGGCGTCACTACCCGAACGAAAATAACACGGCTGTCGATGTATTGACAGCTAATCGTCGACAGGTTAAAGAGGTGATTCCCCCAATTTATTCACCGTCCATCTCAGGAGCCCCGGTGCGTAAAGGGCGCGGACTACGAAAGGTTAAACCTTAAATTAAGACACTCCCGAGGAGTGCGGAGGTGTCGATAATGAATCTCAGAGTTAATTAGCTCAGGAGGTGAGACGATAGGTGGTTCGTTCGTGGCATACGGATACCTTGCCAGCCCTGGCACTCGGGAGAGTAAAGCTTAACTGAAACGTCACGCCACTTGTTACTCGTTAGTGTGCACGATGCCATCTTTACTGGCTACCGAGCTTGCTTCTCAACAGGAGCCACCTTGATGCCAACTGAGTCTGTAATTAACAATGCTCTTCCTCTCTGTACACTGTACCATAGTGAGCTTGCTTATATTAAAATGGTACCCAGTTAGAATATCATATAGCTTTATCGCAAGGTGAGTCTGCCTTAAAGTACCGCTATTGTTGTTATTATTATAAAAAATGAAAGAACGGGTCTGGTATAGCCTAATGGTCAGACAGTCACTGTGTAAATAAATTTATGATATAAATTTTACAGACAAGTCAATGAGTGAAAAATGACCGAATAGACTGATAACGATTGATCATTTGTCTTGGACAGTAGCGTTTAATGCCATGAGAGTTTTCTTCGGGGGTGTTATGTAAGAGAGAATCGTATACACTGAACGTGGTAACGAGATCACTGTAGTCAGCGCTTGATCGTACGAAAGAGTCAGGAACGAGTCTCGCAGGACAAGAAGAGGGCCAATCTTCAGGGCATCTTTCGGCAGTCGACACAGAGTGCCTCCATTACGCTGGGCGGTGGTCCCTCGTTATATCCGGGGCTGGCAAACCTCATGGCCGAGCATCTGATAGCCTCAGGATTTATGGAGGTCCTGATAGTTCATTTAGTGCTGACAACGAAAGCAGACGCGAGCCAGGACGTGTCTGTTGTGCGTGCCAACAGGACAATACGAAGGTATCGCTGTGAAAACGAGTTGGGCTTCTTGTACCACGTTGGTCGTCATAACTGTACAGGTAGGGAGTGACGAAAGAATGCAAAATAGGATGCAAGTATTGTGCATAACGTATGACGCGCTAGTCTTACAGGTTTTTTTTTTTGTATTTGGGTCAATTTAATTATTTTGCATGGTATTGCCTTAGGTATTTCAGTCACGTTTGCTGGTACAATTTTCTCCATTAATTTCTGGTAAGTCTAAACGGGAGCTTTATCTGGGGAGACGTCGATAAGGTTACGTCAACTGTAGAAGTAAATAAATCACACGTGGATGTGTTTATGAAAGTGGAGATCGAGTTGTCGGTGTCGGACGGTGGTATCAAAAGTGAAATTTTTAATTGCCTCATTTATTTAACTTTAACGCACCGGGTTCTATCGGAGATATCAGACGCTCCTTTTGGGTGCCGCTATCTTCTAGAAGGTGAGAACTCCCAAGTTCGCTGTGGCATACGAATTAGCATCTACCGGCTATTA